AATTTATTATTACATAAAAAAATCGAAATTTAATACACACACAAACATACATATATATATAGAATATTAAAATGAAAAACTCATAATAATTAAATTTCAAAATGTAAGAAATCATTTCAGCATCATGAATTTTTTATAATAGACTTTTTCAATTTCTCCCCTTGCTTTTTTTTTTATTTTTAGTTTATATCCCAAGTCAACTATATGATGTGCATTTATATTACTGTTGTATTATTGCTTATATACATATGTAGATATGGGGATTATGTATAAAATAAAATTGGATCATTTATATAGCAATAATATTTTTAATTTAAATAAAAATAGATTTTATTCTGCTCTCAAAAACAAAAACTATAAGATTAATGCCTTTATTTTTTTTCTCCTCTTTTTATTTTTGTTTTATATTTCCTTATAAAAATATTTTAAATAGAAAAAAAACAAGACAAAAAATAACAAAAATCGATTTTCAACTATTCTTTTTATTTATTTGTTTTATTTTCTGCTATTTGTTCTTTTCCTTTAATTTTAAATTAATAAATTACATATAAGACTGCTCTCTCTATTGTTTATAAGGATCATGTAATAATAAACACATACACACATATAGGTATATAAATTCAAAAAATTTGATTGAAAATTGAACAAGAACGAAAAAAATGAAAAACAATAGAGAGAAAGAAAATATGTTGAAAATTTTTTTTCATTCTTTATTTATAATAAATGCTTCTCATTCAAGAGAACAAATATTTTCACCACAGTCTTCATACAAATAATACGTACACTCAATACATAATACGATAACTAAGTCTATACAATAGAACTCGGTCGAGTATCTAGACAAAATCATATCTTGTATGTATGTACATTTCTACTTAAAAAAAAAACATAAATGTAGGACAAAAACAGTTAAGAAAATTGATAAACAATAGAAAAATATTTTTATACATGGAAACACATTGAAATGTAATCCTTTAATAAAATATTTATATCCTTAAAATTAAAGTATGTTGGGTATGTTAGTTGGTTAATGGAATGTACATATAAAGAAAAAAGAAAAAGGAATCGTAAGTAAATCATTATATTTACTTGCTTTTTTATTATTTTCACATTTTATATAAGAAAAAACAAAAAAATCAAGAAACAATAATAGAACAAAAGGATTCTGATTTAAAGGACTTCTCTCTGTTCAGTAATAAAATTAGTCAGTTTTGAATATTTTATGTGGATGAAAATTTGAAAAAGGAAAAATATTTTTTCTTCCTTTCCATTTTTTTCTTTTCATTTTATTTATTTAATCTTGAATTTTATTTGTTCTTTACCTACATACGTACATATATATATGAGTTAACCGAAGAGTAGGCTTTTCTTGGAATTTTTGGAAAAGAAAAATATTTTAAAGAAGAACTTTCAATTCATGCTCTTATGAAAATACTTGAATGAAAAATATAAATTTTTTTACTAGACTTTTTCATTTAAAGAAAGCCACCTTAGATCTTATTTTTTCAATAATAAAATATTGGTGTACTTGAGGAAAATTTAAGATTATATTCACCTTTGTTTATATAAAAGAAACAAGTGGTCTCATACTCCATATATGCATGTATGTATGAGAATAATATTAGACGACAATGAGATTTTTATTGGGTTTTTCTACGAAATTTTTGGAAAATTAAACAAAATTATAATGAAAATTTGTAATTAAAATGTTTTAAAGGAATTTAAGTACTACTTTTTGCAGGTTGTATTAGTTTTAAAAAATGAAGGTTTACTTACTTTTCTTAGATTTCGTGCTTGACTATTGATATTTTAAATTGCAGCATTTTAATTATTATAATTCGTGTTATATTAATTATGTGTGGTAGTTAATATGCTCAACTTTTGCTCACTCGCAAGAATTCAATCATATTTGTATAATCATTGAATAGACCAAGAAATTTCCATCGAAAAGAAAGCATTTCCTTTATTCACCTAAACGAAATGAAAATGGAAAGCTTTACAGAATAAACGCATAAATTGCCTCGTAATCAGTAGCTTAAAAGCTGCCTTTTTGAGCAATGAGCACGATATTGTGTAAATAGTTGCCATTCTAGTAATATTTTACAAAAGTTCTTAATTTTATTAATATTTAACTTCGCAATATTATTTTCAATTAATTAATTTTTGTAGAGAGTTCCAAATTTTTTAAAATTGAAATTCTAAAGTTAATCAGAAATCTAGTTTTAAAAATACTGATTTCCCCAATTGGTGTTGTACAAATTTTTTCAAAATATCGATTAAACTTGCCATTTTTAAAGCAAATACTGAATGGTGGCTATATTTTGCAAATGTCGAAATAATCACATGCATAAAGTAGAAAAATTTTTCTATATTAAAACATGTAAAAATTCACTCTCTTCCTTTCGATTCGTCGATTACAAAACCCTGAAAATTTATTGGAAATGAGTATTTTAATTTTCTAATTAGTTTGTAAAAAAATTTCAGGCCCTTCATGATCTGTAAGGTCTATACTAAGTAAGTAAGTAAAAAAAAATAAAAATGTTAAGCAAACATCAGAAATTTAATTTTAGGATTCCATTTGGTAACATTTTCTTCGTTTTGAAGGAAATTAGTTCGGTGGTAACCTTGGATGCACAAATTCTATGCAAAGTGTTGTTAATCCCTCTCTCTTTTCTTCTCCATTTTCATTTATTGCAATTTCACTGCAATTCTCTTTAATTCTCTTTAAATTCAATTTCAATGGAGCAAAAATAAAACAAAAATGAAAATAAAGAAAAAACTCTTCCTAATAAAAAATGTTCACAAAAGTCTTATGTAATAATTCATAAAAAAAACAAACAACAAAAACAAAAAATAACAAAAAAGGATAAAAACAAAAACCGGAATAAATAATCGAACTGAACAAAGAAAAAGTAAAAGTAAAAAAAATTGAAAAAACTCTAATAAAACTAAATAAAAATGTAAATAAAATCCACAAAAAAAGAAAAAAAAAACAACAAAAAACAAAAAGGACAAAATATCAATAAGCAGCCAGCGTGTATGGTTACTTTCAAAAAATTCACTGACAACATTTTTCATCTCGGTGGGTCAGCAAAATAAAACGTTCAAAATAAAAGTAAAAAAACAAACAAAATTAAACAATAAAATCAAAATAAAAAATAATAACAATACGAAAACAAAAAAAGCAAAAAAATCTTATATACGGAACGGGATCAAAAACAACTAGAACAAAACAAAAAATAAACTCTAAAGAATCCTTGCTTTCTAAATATCCAGTCATTCAATAATACCTAAACAACATAACTAACTACAACAATAACAACAGGGATAAGAAACGAAAAAACAAAAACTGCAAGGAATAAAAATATTAGCAACAGAGAAGAGCAACAGAAGCAACAAACCATTAACAATAAGTTCCGAAGACATTTTATATATTATATTTGTTTGTATATATGACCCCTTTTTCACACATTACATTCATATACATTTATACATTCCTATACGACTTACCGAAAAAATGGAATAAAAAAAGAAAAATGGAATAAAAGTTGGACCTTGTAACGGTATCACAAAAAAAAAATCCCAGGACATTTAAAAACAACAATAAAGGAATGAGAATATAAAATAGTAAAAATTCTATTATGTGCATACGACGTATACACCTACACATACTCACATACATTATGTAAATGTACAATATAGTAAGCATATAGTGTATATAGTGCGATAATGTCGTATGTATTGAAAAATAGAATAAACACTTTCAATGCTTAATATTAATTTTTTTTTGTGAATTTTATACTCTTATTTTCTTTATTGTATTTTCAAGGATATATGTAAGGATATTTTAGGATTAATTCCATTTCAGTTACTGTGATTTTTTTTCATTCTACATATACTTACTTCTTAAATAAAAATAAAAAAATGAAATTCGCATATAAGGACGAAATAAAGGCACCAAAAAAAAAAATATAAAACAAAATAAAGAAAAAACTCTTTAAAACAGAGAATAACCTAAATTAAAAATAAGAAAAAAGTGGAAGAAAAGAGACTAAGAGTTTGGAAGGAACACATCATCAATAAAGAAAACGCAACAATAACAACAACAACAACAGAAATAACAATAAAAGAAAAATAGTAAAACAAAACACCAAGAGTGTCCTTTTTTTCTCAAAGAGTGATTTTCATTTCTTAAATCCCGTACAATATTCTGTTTTTTTTTTTCCTACTCGGTTCGCACTTTCTCTCTCTCTCTCTCTGTTTCACACAAATTCCCTTCGTTTACATGCTGTAATATCTTTTTTTTTTTGTTTTTTGCTTTCCTTTTGGAATACGTGTGAAATATTTATAATATAAGAAGAGGGTATACGTACATATATTCGGAAAATTTATAAATTTTCATCTAAAGGCATAAAACACACTATAAATAATTTTTATATAAACACAATACACATTTGTTATTATACACTGGAATGCACATACATTCGTATACAATACAAAAAAAGTGTCCTCATACAAGAGAAGTGTTGTGTAAGAAAAATATTCCCTTCTTTTTTCATATTTTAAAGAATATTTTCATGTTTTCCTTAAGGGAAAATTCTTAAATTTTTCCTTTACTTATTCTACTTTACTTATTTTTCTATTTGTTCCTCTTTTTGGCTTGTGTATTCAAACGTGTGGAAATTTCGGATTGTAAGTGTAAAATAACCGAATAACCAAGTAAATAACTAATAAAAACCTGAAAAAATTTTGAATACATGGCATACTTAAATGATTTTATCAGTGTGTTTATTTAATAAAAAAAAAATTGAATCTAATTGTGAATTTTAAATGTATTTTAAGTGTATAAATTGAATAATTTTCAATTTTAATTTAAAATTTAAACACAAAAAAAAAAATAACCTTACCAAAATGGTAATTTAGGAGAAAAAAATACAGAATTATTAAAAATAGAACTAATTAATTAATTATAATATATAATTAATACTAAAAAAATTAATTATAAATAACGATATCATAATAGAAAAAAAAATTTAATTGAGAATGGATAAAATTATAATAGGATTGATTCAATTATTCATATTTTGTTTATTATATGGTAAGTAAATTAAATTTATTGAAATTATTATTAATTATTAAATATTTAATTTAAAAATATTTTTGTTTATGAATTTATTAAATAATTAATTTGTTTTTGGTATTGAATCTAAAATTATTACATTGTGAATTTTTGTAATGCAAAATTGTTAAGTCTTAAAGAAAATAATTGAAAATTTTGCTCAACAGTATATGTTTAATTTGAGTAAATGTTAAATTTCTAACATAGAAAAAGTTGCTCGAAATTTTGAAATGGAATGCGAAAACTATGTTAAATATACTAATAAATATTTTTAACTCCATTTTCGCTGCAATCTTCCACAAAAATATAAAATTTTTCCGGCGATGTTCTTTTAAGTCAATAATCATTTATAAAATTGCTCAAAATAATTCTAGTAAAAATTAAAAAAAAAAATTGTCTCATCGTTTGTAATGCTAAAAAATAACAGCTTGTGATGTCAATTACATAATTATATATTATATTCTTACTCAGTATCGAATTCTAAATTTATTTTTTTCTTTTAGAACAAAACAAGCGTAATTAAAATCATAGTCATCCCTATAGTCAGCTATGTCATAGACAAACAAGTTTTCGTACGAATATCTGCTCCGAGTTTACATGATCAACTCTATTTTTAATCATTTAAATTAAATTTGATCTATATATAGAGATAATCATGAAATCCTATGATTGCGTTTTCTGCATAGAGTTTAATCAGCTAATTTAAGATGTAATGAGAATGTTCTTTTGATACGTATGAAGAGTTTATTTAAACATCTTTGTTGCAATAATGAAATAACAGAGTATTTGTTTTTCTTCATGATTCTGTTGAAACAAATATCTAAGAAATTTGTGATTATATGAGCTAAACAAGGACGAAGGACATAGTTTATATTGCCCTCTAACTGTCACTACGCTTGTTATATACTGTTCCATAGCTCAATAGCTTTTATTCAGAAAATATAAAATGAAATTGAACTTTTGCTGCATACATTAAATTTCCATTTTTTCATGTTAATTTGTACATTTTCATTTTATCCAAATAAGCGTAATTTTTCTCAGACGTCATTAAATTTTACTGAAATGAAAAAAAATAAAAAGTAAATAAAAAAATTTCTTATCCCTTTAGAAATTTCCTTTTTCTTTTTAATTTCTAATAATTATTTTTATGTGTTCAAACAACTAAAACTACGCTTACATTTAAGACTTGGGACACATTTCTTTTGGTTTTGGTTGGAGTTTTTCAAATTGTAATCATCTAAAATTTTCCTCTATTTTATTTTCTATGGCATAGAAATGGTAAACCAAATTTCAAAAAAATTTTTACGTTCTTATTCTTCCCTTTATTTTTTATTTAAACTTCAAACTTTATTAAAATTGAATCTCTCTTTTTTTTTTGTTTAAACTTTTCTAAACCAGACACATAATTACTTACAATTAAGCTCGAAATTTAAAACAAAAAAAAAAAGAAGAAAAACTTAACCAATTCTTTGTTATTTTATGGGTAAAAAAGCTATGACATTGTTTAATGCAGCATATTATGCAATATTCAATTAAATACTACAACAAAGAGAAGCACAAAAAGGAACTTTTGATAAAAGGGAAAAGTTTTTTAATTGGAAAAGTTGAGCTAAAATCCAAATAAAATTTTTGTTCTCCTTAAAACTATATAACATGACATACATATATGAAAAGTCTTCTTCCATTATTTTTTTTTTGATGGAAAGAGAATTTTGATTTATTCTTAGTCATTTTTACAGTCTTACATTAAAAGTTTGTCTGTATATGTGATGCTCCTTAGTCTATGAATGGATTTGCTTGCTTTTGTTATGCTTTTCTGATAGAAAATTTAAATTTTTAGTTATGACAATTTTATAATACCCTTTTCATTTTACGGATTTTTAATCCTTTTAACAAAGATCTAATTCTGTTTTTAATTTTAAGATTGTTTTTAAAGTAAAATTTTTCTATAGTGCTGTCCAGAATATTGGATTTAAATTATAAATTTGATTCATTTGAATTCTTTCTAGATCACAAGAATTTGTAAGTTTTCTTTTATAATTTAAAAATTTATTTTGTTTCTTTACATAATTTAAATTTAGTCATATAATAAGTAAAAAATATGCAATTTATAATATTAAAGGGCTCAATAATATACTCGAATAAATCAAAACTCCAACTATATTTTCATAGTTATACAATTAGAAATAATAAACGAGTGAACAATTTCATTGATATTAGATTTACGAAACCATATGAGCCGGTCAGAACATTAGTAGCCCATCCAATATTTTTGCAAAATTGAGTTATTTTGTTTAATAGAGCTGTAATGGCCTAAAGAATTGCTCTATATTCTCAAAATACCTACTTTACTCCTATTTTCACCCTATTTTAATATTAGTTCGTTTTTACCATTTAAAAAATTTTCTTAAAAATTAAGTATTTAAATATTTCAATCGCAATTTACTCGAAATATCATTTTTGCAAACACGTTCGTAATGTGCTAAACGCCTCATATATAAATGCAATTTTTTTTAAAAATTATTTTAAATAGACCAATTAATAAAGATGTGTACATGGTCTTCGAAAAACAAAAGTTCTTCTAATGCAATCTAATTAGACATTAGCATTGACAAGATCAACTAAAATATTTCAAATTTGTCTTGCATAATAATTGCTATTTTTTTTTATTCGAAAACTTTAACAATAACTTTTATATCATGATCTACTGTTATGAACAAAATCATGAGAATTCTATTGCTTCTGTAACACTATAATTACATTTAGTACCATAATAAAAATGTCAATTCAAAGTTCAACACTCTTTATTATGTAACAGAAGTTTACAGTTTCTCTCTCTCTTTTTATTAATTTAATTTTCAAATAAATTCTCTTTTAAAATATTGCTTAGAGCACTTAGTATACATGTATGTACAATATGTAAGCATACATGTGTCTTTGATTTGAATATTTAATTAAAAAGTATATTTAAAAATTTATAAGTATTTAAGTACACTATAATGTAGTAAAACTAATATTTTTAATTACTGTTTCAGAAATTTTGATTATTTAAAATGAAATTTTCGATTAAATGCAAAAAAAAACTTTTTATTTAAGTTAATAAAATGGAGCCAAAAATTTTACAAAGTAAAAAAAAATATTGAAAAAAGTCATTAGAGTTAGTAGAAACCAAAGGTCAGAACTCTTAATGTCTGTAGAGAATAAGGGTTATAGAAAAAATCTTGACATTTACTTCGAAATGGCTGCCTTATTAATACTTGATTAGAACTCTTTCGCGAGGCTTAAATAAAAGCCAAAATTTTTGCATTTCAAAAAAAAAGTTGTGAATCTAACATCTTATTGCTGAAATATTTTTGGGGATTTGATTGCCAAAATCATTTATTTTGACTATGTGTGATTCCGAATATATTTGAGATCAAGTGAGAACTCTGATTTTTATATAAGTATACATTTCGAAAATCTTATATGACAACTTTACAAATTTTAAATGAATTAGGTTCTCCTTACTTGTATACATAAAGGAAAAATTTTATCTCCCGGACAAAAAACGATTAATTAAATTTAATGTACAATTGGTTATTAAAAGCTAAATATTATCCCGATTGAGATCTACTAATTGAACTATATACATTACATTATCATTTCTGTTGGACTTTCAATGAACAAGAAAATTATTTATAAAATTGTATCGAAAAATCTAATTATGTCTCATTCCAAAACATTCCGAACAAATATTCAATTCCTATGAAAAATTCATTTGACAATAATGAATGCACTTGGATAAAATATTACAAATGAGATTTATTTTTTATTATTTTGTAATTAAAATTTCAAATTTAATCTGTTTTCCTCGAAATTCCTGTTACAATGCGTATTTATGTGCTTAATGATAAAATCAATTGTTTTTAAATATTTGCAAATGAAAAAAAAAATTCGTATTAAGTCAAATGTCATTTTAAAAAAAATTGCAAATGACATAATGTTGTCTCTCTCACTACCTATTCAAGTAAGTCTATTATACATATATAATAGAACAGTAGTATAGTTATAAAAATTATGATTGTGCGTTTGAGTGAGAATCACATGTCAAAAACTACTTAAATTTAATTCGATTGAAATCAACTTGAACACATGCACTTTCAGATAACAAAATTTCCACAATTGTGTAAGTACTTCAAGCCCTGACAATATCATTGAATTTATTTAATCACATTATTTATTTTATTTATTTTTTTTTTACATTTATAATATAAAATATTTTAATAATATAAAATTATAATTTTGAAATTTTTTATGCTTGAAATATGATGTAAATTTTGTATTTTTTTTGATAAACAGATTTTAAAAAAATCTGAAAAGATAACAAATATAAAAAATTTCCAGAGATTATCATTAACACAATTGATTCGAATTAATTAATTGTATTTATTAATAAACGCATATTCTAAGTGCCAATAATTAATTCAATTCAATGACTTTAAAATATATTTACTCTGTATGTGTGCATGTTAACTGTAATATTGAGCTCTTCAGCTGTTTAAATGCTCTTTCATTTTGATTTATTAAATCATTATTCGATTTTTTTAAATTACAAATTTAATTAAAATCAGGAAAAAAAAAAACACAACATGTGATTAAAAATTGATAAATTCTATGTATAAATTACAAGATAAAAAAAATTTGTGATTTTTTATATTTCATAAAAGACACGTAAAGTGTTGCTCGAACTTTAAAAGTAGATGTATGACAGAATTTTTTAATTTTAATACCTTCAATATTGCATGTAAATCAAAAATTTAGTTTTTTAGAAAATAATATTGGAATACGTAAGCTGAAAATTCTTGATATTGAAAGTGAAGAATTTGTTTTAGCTAAAATTCATCTCATACAACCAAGAATCACTAATAGATTTTGAAAGTTGTTCATTTAAAATCGATAAATCATAAAAGTGATGCAAATTGCTCTTTACATACAAACGT